CGACAACGCTAGTGCCACAGCGACTAGTCCACCCACACCCTCTTGAGCTGACTGCCGTGGAGAAAGAAGTTATCCGCGCGAACAAACCCTCACTCACCGCAAACGGCTTTGTTGTCGATCTAGACACCGAGGATGAAAACGGCGCAGACAACCATGCGCAGTTGGTCTCATTGCCAATGTCAAAAGAAGTCACCTTTACGCCTACGGATCTAGAGGAACTCCTCGCACTCATCGTAGAAAGCCCACAGTCTTCGTCCATGTCCACATCGTCGCATATACCGCGCCCCTCCAAGGTCAGGAAGTTACTCGCAAGCCGCGCCTGCAGAAGTTCGGTGATGATCGGTAAGACCCTTCAGACGCCACGCATGCGAGAGATTGTTCGACACATGGGCAGTATGGGTAAGCCGTGGGCTTGCCCTCATGGCCGGCCTACTATGCGTCATCTGTTTGGGTTGGAAAAGTTGCAGGGTTGGACAGAGGGGGACGGCGTGACGGGAGTTGATGTCCAGGGGGAGAAGACCGATTGGAACGCGTATCTGAAGGATAGCAAGAGATGATGAAAACGGAAAACGGAGATGATATGCTGCAGAAGGACCAGAATACACAGGTATCATTACGTGACTTGCTCTCCATCAGCGCTGTTATCAATGACTAGATAGAACATGTCGTCTTGGCCAATAAACTTTGCAGTCCTGTCGACATGTTCTATCTAGTTATTGATAATAACGCTGATGTAGAGTACTGCTCAGAGTACCTACACTTGAGGTTGCATATTACTAGGATAGATGGAAGTACATCGCGATCGCAATCGCAATCGCGGATGTTTGGCATACACGTAGACGCCTCGTTCTCTTACCCGATTCAGGTGTTTGCTCATGAGAGTTCGGCTGCTGGTACGGTCGTTTGGCTAGTACTCCCCGTTGGTTTCTGTATTGGGTGTGTGTTTTTCTTCTTACTTCTGCATTCGTATTCCCCGTCATCTCACCTTTTACGCTTCCAGAAAGATCTCTCAGAACTTATCTCAATACACGGTCTTTTACCCAATCATGACGGAAACCTCTACCTGGCTCATTGCAGGCTTCCTTGCTCTCTCCCTCTATCTAGACATCGTCCTGGCGCGAATAGATTTCGTAGATGCATTTCGCGAAGTAGACGAGTCGCTTGAAGGGCCTGAGGGACCGAGAGTCAATGATTATCACGACGAGGATCAGCCGGATGCCGATGAGAAGGAGGGCTGATGTAGAATAGTGAGACATAAAGTCCATTTGGCTAGATGCATTGTGCGGCAAGATTAGGTGATAGTGTTTGCTATTCGAACCGAGAAAAGTGAAGATGTTGTCACGACGATGTGTCGCTAGCTGTCCTTCCTCACGCTTAAACTGCGTTTGCGCGTTTGCCAGCACGGCTTTCGGTTTCTCGCCAGCGAAGCAGCTTGCTGTTCAAATATCTTCAAACTATCTTTACCTTTCTTCAAGTTCAATGTGCCCTTTTGTCGTTCACTATGTTCTCTAGGAACTCGTGTATACTACCTTCTTCATCGCCACAGCCATGACAACCCCAGATAGCAACTACGATGCCTCAGCCTCCGACTTCACCTGGCCCAACGCCAAAGCCCTCTGGGTCATGGTCATCATCGGTGCGGGTCTAATCGTCCTCCGCATCATCTACAAAGTCTGCATGAAAATGCATGAACGGCGGGTCCAGCGAGCGGATGAACATGAATTCGCCGATTTGGTACAAGGGTCGACACGAATTGGGCTGGATGACGGTGCGATAAGGTTGCAGAGGCCATCACGAGCAGTGACGAGGAGAAGTAGTGAAGTCTCGGCTTTACCGCGGTATGAGCGGTTCGATGAGGGGGAATTGTGTGACGAGGATGCGCGGATTGAGAAGAGGGGGCGGTACAGCTATGTGTTGGGTGAGCGTTGGCCTGGGAAGAGATAGGGATAAAGAGGGGGATAATGAGTTTTGAAGGAATGACGTGGCTAGCGCTTTGCGACACTAGGAAGGGGCGATACGCTGGCAGTGGTGATGGTGGAATGGACAACCCTGGTGCTTATATCGTGGAAACCAGCCTCGTCTTCTGTTTCTTCCGCAAAACTTCATACATCGTACTAGATACGTAACGCGTAAGCGTATCTCGATCAAGCAGACCCAGACCATTAGCCGCGCACGCAATGAATCAGTTATACGAAATCCTCATGCTGTTCGGCCTTTGCCTCGCCGTACCGTTCGTGTCTTATCTGATCTTTATCACCGTCAAGGAGCCCATGCCAGTGCGCAGCTGAGGAAATCCATCGTACAAAGAATGCGCGCCCCTTTCACATCCGCGGTTATGCACAAGACGCCATACGATCAGCTCGTTGGAAGGAACAAGAAGATCCTGGGTACCAAGTAACACGGGTTTTCAGGCTATTGATGATGACACCGAAAAAGCTAGTTGGTTGTGTACCTAGAATTAATGTATATTCGTCACTCTCTTCCTCTATTATACTTCATGATCTTGAACGTGGACGTGTGCGTCCTCGCGATGTGAAGTGTGTGGTGAGTGACATATGCACCCAACCAGTCGTGACAATAAGTGTTATCTACTAATGAATTCACTAATTCTGTTATACTTTCTGTCTCTCTGCACATCTTTCGCGACACCGTCTTCTCCAAATCTTGTGCACCACCCAAAAACCTCTCAAGCTCACGGTACTACAATCTTAGCAGTAAAGTCTCACTCACCAGAAATGCCCAACTCCCCAACCCCCCTCATCTGGCGCTGGATCCTCTTCAAAGAGTGGCTTCGACGCATGAAGATCAGAACGCGCAACTACCACGCTGGACCCAAGAAAACAGATCCTCAGTCAGACTTATACTACGACTATAGAACGACGCGGCCGAGACCAACGCAGACGGCGGAGAATGCGCATCCGGGGGTGGTGTATTATGCTTAGTAACGGGGTTGGTGGTTACGGTGGTTTCTGATAGGAAGAGCGAGGTCGTTGGAACCTGTGTGTAACGGACGTGTGCAGTGACAAGTGCTAGCTAAGATAGAAAGAAAGCAAGGAAATCGCGGAGTTAGGGGACATGGCGGAGTGATTAACGCTATGCTATTGAGACGCCATCATGTGATCCAGATTTGGATTCGGACTATACTTCTTTTCCAAACGTCTCGTCCTGCGTTGGCTGTCCTGCTGTCGATATCATCATAACAACGCGTCGCGCGTACGTGTGCTCACGATAGATACATCTCTCATTCACTCCTTCATCTGAACACCATGCCCATTGCTCATCTTTCAACAACTGCGACATGGAGATCGAAAGCATAGCAGTAATCTGCCTAGTCATCCTCCTTGTCCTCCTCATTCAGATCATATTTACCTTCCGGTTACTCTTGTCTCTCCACCATCGATCCCATAAAAGAGATGAGGAGCATGGTCTGCGCAATATACCTATTATGCCTCAAGCCGTATCTATACAGGAGGAAGCTCAGCCACCACCGCATAGCGTCGCACAACGCCTTACTATACCAGGGCCGGCATATCCATCGAGCTCTAGATACAGTGTTCGATCAGGCATCAGCGATTCGTCATCCGATTACGAAGAGTCTCCGAGCCCCTCCCACAGAGTAGACGTTCTCGGTAAAGGTAAGGAAACGCAAGTATCGCACAGTGACTTGAGATATGACCGTGGAAACCCTTTTACGAACGACGCGGTGAAGAAGACGAAAAGGAAAGATATACTAGAAGAACTATGGGATAAAAAGCCTTGAGAATGTTGAAGCAAAGCTGATAAGGGAAACAAACGCTGGGGGGAAAAGTTAGGTGCGCATGATAGGCGCGTCTGGCAAGGTGACGCACCCACATGATGTGGAGGGCAAGCCGGAATATGTATATATAGCGCCCTGCTACTACGCTACATTAGCTTCTCCGATAGCTTCATTCAGTCACAAAACAACCACCATCCATCCACTCAACCGACCACGAATCATGACAGGTATAATCCAAAACCCAAACCAACACCCTCCAAGCATACCCCCATGCTTTCCCTATTTCGCGCTAGGCGTCCTAGTAGGCATCCTCATCGCAGCACTATGCTGTGCCATATATGGCTGTGGTGTCGTTCTTGCACGAGATAGAAGACCTGGTGTCAGGAGAATGCCTTCGGAAAGCTCATCAGGCTATTACGCTGATGACGAAAGTGAGTCGATTGGCAGTGACGCTTCATTGACACAGCATGTGTTGGTCGAGCCGGATTATACAGCGACGACACCTGTGAGGTGGTCGGATGCCGGGCACTGAATCGAGCGATGATGAGATTTCTAGTGTTCGTATGTGGAGGCGTTGGTTCTGCGCAGGTGATGAGTAGGCGATCAGAGGGTTACGCCGATGCGTTGGTATCGCATGTGCGAAACCACGTCCCTGGCGTTTGATCAGCCATCGAACAGGAGACTGACTGATCGCATAGTCTCCAAGAAAAAGAAAAAAGCTCTACGAGTGTTAGCTAGGGGACAATCATCCTACCGAACGATGAATGAACACCATGTATATAAGAATTGTTTCTGCTCCATCCCACTCTCACTGAAGTGAAACTTCCAACTTACACAAAATCACCATGAAACTCGAACCACACGAGGATCTCGCTGGAATGTGGGTTCCTCTGGTCTTACCGCCGTCGATCGGAGCGCATGCCACTAGTATCGGAATATACATGGTCGCCGTCACCTGCAGCGTGGCTACGATATCCGAAGTCCCTCTGGCGACTTTCAATACACCACAAATCTTCGGCTGGCGAAACAGCAGTGTGCTTGATACGATCCTGGAGAAGTTGAGAATAGTGATATGTGGGCCCCCTGTGGTCGAGGTCATAAAGCCAGGGGAGATGTCAGATGCGGAATATTTCGGATGGACAGCGGCATGGGAATGAGATGCAAAACTTTATTGAGAATATATGAGAATGTACGTTCGCATTACTATGAGAAGTGTCAGTCGCTAGAATGAAATCAAACCTATCTACGCATCCTGAGGTCCCATATCAAACAACAAGAACTCCGCAGGTTTCTCGCCCACACTCTCAATCTCAATCTTGCCAGGCCCGCTCACTCCCTCAATATACGCGCCATCACCCTCCCCAAACACCTGATCTCCAATCTTGATCTGCGCCCCACCCTGCTTAGGCTGCGACCGTCCACCCATAACAACATGAGCAAACAGCTTCCTCGGCCCCTCAGCAACAAGCTCATGAACAACCTTTTTGCCCGGGCTCAAAATCGACGCATCCATGCTAAGATCAGCCTGCAGCCCAATAGCACCTTTACTCTCCTCCAACCTGTCCGTAGACTCCATTATCCTAACCAGCTTATCCGTTTTCTCCTCGTCGGTGAACTTCTTCGTTTCGTAGTGCGGCTTCAGACCGCGCTTGTTGGGCTTGGCCCAGATCTGGAGGAAGTGGACTTCGGAGTCGGTGTTGCGGTTGTATTCCGAGTGGCGGATGCCGGTGCCGGCGGAGGTGAATTGGACTTCGCCGCGCTTGAGGTTTTCGAGGTTGCCCATGCTGTCTTTGTGTTCGAGGACGCCGTTGACGATGTAGCTGAAGATGAGGAATTCGGCGTGGCTGTGCGTTCCTGTTTGGTAGTGTTAGAAAAGAGTAGGCGTGTATACGGGACGGGGTGTACGTACCAAAACCGGTGCCGGCCTTTACTCTGTCTTCGTTGATGACCCTCAGCGGGCCGAAGCTCTCGTGTCTGGGGTCATAGTACGAAGCGAAGGAGAAAGTGTGGTATGTGTACAGCCAGTCGTGGTCGGCATGTCCGCGTTGCGACCAACCGCGCTTGGTGAGCTTCATTGAAGTTGGGCCTGCGGTCGACATTGCGCGTGTGGCGGGTTTAGTAAGAACAGCAGGGAACCAGATACTGCGGAACGTGCTTGAGAAAGCCAGGATGATTGCGAAAAGACCAACGACTACTGTAAGTGTCTTTGTGGTTGTCGAATACGAATTATCTGTTGTAGTAGAGCGATGTTCACCAGATGTGTCTGTCATCACGAAAGGAAGAATCCTGGCATCGAAAGCGTCGAGGCGCCTTTATAGCTGTTAGTAGGGGGAGGGTTAGTTCGCGCATCATGTCGAAGCTTCATTGACTTCGCGCATCGCATTTGCAATGAGTGACTAAGGCACGGCCAGGTTAGTAACAGCCTCTTGTGGGGAAGAGAGAAGACGCTTGCTGACCAGGCGGATTACCGATGGATGACGGAATCACCCCTGCTTCTTTCTCAGCTAGCCCTCATTGGACGCTTGCCGAAGGGCGTTGCGGAACAGGTCCGATCACAGCACTACGACCAAACTATTGCGATTCACGTGTTGTTTACCTACTACCGTTCCGAGTTGACGTACCGGCACGAGAAAGAGTTGAAATCGTGGACTACCAACTGCACTGGTGGTTGTGCAGGTTTGCAAGCATACTCGCGGATCCCATCTACCCGTGAACCACCAACATGGCACTGACCAACTTCAACCCCGATGCATTCTTCGAGGCCTGGACAGAGAAAGAATACTCTCCAACCCACAGCAACAAGCCATTAGCACAATGTATAGGAGAATCCTTCGGCATCCCCCCAACCGACAAATACATCTACCGCGCCCAAGCCGAAACAACGCTCCACGCGACCCAAAGAGCCATCGAAGCGAAGAGAGCCCACGGTCTCCATGGATGGTACCATGATGACACCGGAAAACCTTTCGACCCGCCACAATACCCAACACCAGAAGAAATCCAAGCCTATACCACCCTGTTCTCCCCCCAAAACAGTCTCCCCACAGCCCTAAACAACTTCACCAAATCCGCAAAAGCCGACACTTTACGTAAACGCATAGGAAACCACCTAACAGCCCGCTTCCTCAACAACTCAAGCCAAACCCTTCTCCCAGCGAAAAGAGACCCTAAAAAGTCCCCACGCCAACACAAAAACCCCTACCTCGATCTGTGGGCCTACTCCTGTGAAGAACTAGAATGGGCGGGACCTTTACCCTCAACAACAAACACGCGGATCTCGCATCACATCCTCCCCATCTTCTACCACCATTTTGGCTGCGTCGTCCCGTCTTACGCCGCTTTGCATGTTTTGGCTAAACTGGCTCAGCCGGCGCGGCCGGCAAAGGAAGATGTATTGCCTATTCTGGATGTGGGGAGTGGAAATGGGTATTGGACGTATATGCTCCGCAACTTCCCTGTTTCGCATATTGGAACCGAGAAGGGACTTGATGTACGGGCTATTGATAATCAGGTTAGTGAGTATCGGGTGACGTGGATTAAAGATACTATTATCATGGATGGGAAGGAGTATCTCAAACGGCATGATGGTGGGAAGGGGTGTGTGTTGTTGCTTGTTTATCCGCAGGCGACAGGGGGTTTCACGGGCCCGCTGCTTAAGGCGTTCGCTGGGGATAGAATTGTAGTTGCGGGGACACAGAACGGGAATGGGTTTACGGGATTTCAGGATGCGGTGGTTGATGAGTGGGTGGAGAAGAATCTTAAGCAATTTGAGTTGGTGCTTAGGATGCCGTTGCCGAGTTTTGCGGGCAAGGACGAGGCGCTGTTTGTGTTTGAGAGGAGGAAGTAGGACGGTGGGATGGGTAAGGGAATGTATAGAGGTCACGGACGCAAGGTATAAAGCTTGTGTCATGCAGCACTGTATAGCTGCCCGTATTCATCATTCATAGCGTAGGACATGCCAGTACCTATCTTTACTTCATTTTCCTTGTCTACCACTTGGCCTCCTTCTTCGCCAAGAATGTGTTCAGGATAGCAACAAGCTTCTCCAGCGCCGCGAGCCACTTCTCGAGCTCAGCCTGCACTTTGCTTTCGTCATCGCCCAACTTTCCGTAGAAGTCCTTGCGGTAGGGTGTGGCGCTCATGGCAGCACTGAAGATGGGCTTGACCATGAAGGAGTGGTGGGGCTTGAGTGTGTTGCCGTAGGCATCGCGGAAGGAGTCGGCGAGCTCCTTGGAGGGGTTGGAGATGTTGTGGCGGAGGGCTTGGGCAGTGAAGTCGAGGCCACTGGGACAGATTAGCAACGTGATGTTGGGTTGTGAAAGGATAGCTTACCGGTTCAGCCATACGAGACCCTCGGTAGCGGTGTGCTTCTTCTCCTTGAGCTCGTTCAGGGCAAGCTCTTGAAGTGATTCTGACTGAGCAGGTGCCGCGAGCTGTCTGTCGCGGATTTTCTGCCCGGCGTTAGTACAGCTGTTCCTGCAGCATCAGTTCCAGTCCTCACCTTGATGTTGCCGCTCATGTCATTCTTGACAGGCTTGAACGCCACCGAGCCCAAGACATCGAACAGGGTAGTCGTGCTCTCCGCCGCCTCTAGGAACTCGTTCGTCGAGATAGCATTGTCCTTGGACTCATCGACAGGCACGTCCACGAAGCTCTTCTTGACCGTCTCGAAGAAGGTTCCGCCGGGAGGGTACGCAGCAGCCATTGTGGGGTAGTATGTGGTGTTTTGCTGTAGTGTTGGAAAAAGCAATTGAGGTTCAGATGCGAGAAAGGCAGAAAGACGTTTGTTATGGCAAAGGTGGTCTCGGCCTAAGCGGTGAGCTCTGGTGCGTTCGACACGCGTGGCTCTGGTGGGGCATGCGGCTGCAGTGAGCTAGCGCGGGGAATGCGCGACGCACAGGGTCTCGAGAGGGGAACTGCGAGCGGCTAGCTCACCTTGCACATGGGCGCTGCATCTGTCTTGGGGAGCGACGTCGGGACGTAGAATTATGTCCGGAAGTAGTTTGTCCTGCGCGGGGAAAGAATCTCCGGTAGTCGTGACCTGCCTGCGGTATAAGACATCATGAGCCTGCTGTAGTCGTCAGATAGCGAGAGAACACCATCACCTGCAGGGTAATATATCGCCATCCCGATCTCTATCAATCGGACCTTCTGATCCTTGCTTGAACATATCTCCGAACCTACAGCAACCTCAACCACTAAGATGCCGTCACATATCCACTCTGTTACCAACATACACCGTATAGCCTGCATCCCCGGCGACGGCATCGGCGTCGACATAACAGAAGCCGCCATCCAAGTCCTCAACGTCTTAAGCAAAACCATCGGCGGCTTCGAATTCGACTTCACGACCTTTGACTGGAGCAGCAAGAACTATCTCGAGCGAGGATGGTACATGCCACCGGACGGTCTCGAGCAACTGAAAGCCTATGATGCCATCTACTTCGGTGCCGTTGGCTGGCCCAATGTGCCTGACCACATATCCCTCTGGTCCCTCATCTTGCCAATCCGGAAGTCGCTGAACCAATACGTCAATGTCAGACCCACACGTATCCTCCCTGGCACCACATCCCCTCTATCAAACTGTAAACCCGGCGATCTCGACTGGATGATCATCCGCGAGAACAGCGAGGGCGAGTACTCCGGCCAAGGCGGCACATCTCACGAAGACAGCCCGCACACCATCGCCACTGAAGTCAGCATCTTCACTCGCGTCGGCATCGAGCGTGTAATGCGATATGCATTCGAGACCGCGCGCTCACGACCACGCAAGAAGCTCACCATGGTGACCAAGAGCAACGCACAGCGCCACGGCATGGTCCTCTGGGACAAAGTCTTCTACGAAGTCGCAAAAGAGTACGAGGACGTGGAGATAGACAAGATGCTTGTGGACGCCATGACGGTGCGCATGACGCTGCATCCCTCCTCGCTCGACACCATCGTTGCGACAAATCTACACGCGGATATCTTGTCTGATCTTGCTGCTGCGCTGAGTGGCTCGATTGGCATTGCGCCGTCGTCGAATCTCGATCCTACAAGGAAGAATCCGAGTATGTTTGAGCCTATCCATGGGTCTGCGCCGGATATCGCGGGGAAAGGAATTGCGAATCCCGTGGGTGCGTTCTGGAGTGCGGCGGAGATGGTGAGGTGGGTTGGGGAGGAGAAGGCGGCAGATGGGTTGATGAAGGCGATTGAGAATGTTACCGAGAGGGGAGTTAAGACGAAGGATCTGGGTGGGAGTGAGAATACGAAGGGTGTGACCGATGCGGTTTGTAAGGAGATTGAGACACTTTTCAAGAGGGACTGAATGGGGTAGATATACATGTACAAACCTATCACTACCGCAACAGTCTTCCCATCTTCATTGGGTATCATTTCATCCCATCCTCTCTCACGATCACCCATCCAAAAACACCGCAGGAACCTCACTCCTCCCCTCCACAACCTTACTCCTATTCCCCCTCTCCCCCCTCACCCTCTCATCCCCCACCTCCCTCAGCCCCACCCAGTCCCTCCAAACCCTGACCGCCTTCCCCTGAATCAGCGCCTTGCTAATCGGCCCAAAATCATTACTATCCAAACTCTTCCGCCAATTATCCCCTTCAATCCACACATGTCCATACGGCACAACAACCTTACCCACCTCCTCCCCATCTCTAGCCGCAACGCTATCCTCGTCGTGATCAGGCAGTCCGTCTGGTACACCTTTCAACCTGTCCTTGAACGAAGCAGGATCAAGCGCGTAACCCCGTGTAGGATATACGGTATCCCCTTCCACCGCGACAACGCGTTTGATCCCCATCTCCCCCGGTTTATGCGGTTTCCAGAACGTGACTACGTCTCCTCTTTTTACGCCCCAGAAAATAGCGCCATCCTTCCCATCTCCCCCCTTCTCTCCTTTCACAGCCCGTTTCTTGCCATCTCTCCGCTCCTGATACGGTCGCACAATGACATAATCTTCCCGACCCGTCTCGTGCGCGTCGGGACTGAGCGTGGGTGCCATGGAGGAGCCACGCACATGCTGGATCTCAATGAAGTGGTCGCGGATCCAGAGGAGCGCGCAGATGGCTACGATGCCGTTTGTGCCCCATTTTAGGTAGCGGCCGCCTGTGCGAGCGCGTGCGGTTTCATGCCATCGGGGTGGTGGTGGTGGGGGAGCGGTGCGAGATGGTGTTGCTGGGGTGGGCTTTGATGGATGCGGAGTGCGCGGGGCTGGATTTGCGGGTCGAACCGGTAGTGAGGGCTTCGCGAATGCTTTCGGTGCAGTAGGAGGTTTCGCAGGAAGCCGGATGGGAGGTTTGGGTGGCATCGGGAGATTGGGGTTGTGATGGGGTCTTGGTCAAGGTAACGCGATGTTGCTCGGCAATACTTGCCCGCGTTGCCGTTGGACGTTGGAGGTGCTGCAATTCTTCTACAAGACCGCATCTATGGCTATGGCACACATCTAATGTCACTACGAGCTCAGGCGGCGCTGATATCAAACAAGATATTAAAATGGCCGTTTAGTACTTTACGCAAGTTCCGGCAATAGTGAATCGATCATAACGTGCAAAGTTCAAGAGGTATATCTAGCTAGATGGCAGCTATAGTACAAGGCCTAATACATATCCACAGTATGCAATCGCTACCATTCGGTCGTTCAATGCTCGTCAAATCCATAACCTAATCTACTTCAGGGCCTTGATGACGGCGTCGGCGTACTCGAAGGTCTTGGCCTTGCCACCAAGGTCACCGGTGATGGTCTATAATATCGTTAGCATGTATTCATATACAAAGAAAGTGTCCGTGACTTACCTTGCCCTCAGCAAGAACCTTGAAGATGGCCTGCTCAATGTTGGCGGCCTCCTGGGTGAGACCCATGTGTCGCAACATCATGATGGAGCTGAGAAGAAGCGCGGTGGGGTTAGCGAGCTGCTTGCCGGCAATGTCGGGCGCGGAACCGTGGACAGCCTCGAAGATTGAGCAGTTGTCACCGATGTTGCCGGAAGGAGTAAGACCGAGACCACCGATGAGACCAGCGCACATGTCGGAGAGAATGTCTCCGTACAAGTTGGGCATGACGAGGACCTTGTCGTTGTAGGGAACAGGGTCGGTAACCATCTTCAGGCAGGTGTTGTCCAGCAACTCGGCGTCGAACTCAATGTCGGGGAACTCCTTGGAGATTTCGCGGGCGGTGCTGAGGAAGAGACCGTCGGACATCTTCATGATGGTGGCCTTGTGCACAGCGCGGACCTTCTTCCTGCCAATGTCGCGGGCGTGCTGGAAGGCGTATCGCAGGACGCGCTCAGAGGCCTCGCGGGTGATGAGCTTGATGCTCTGGACAACGCCATCGACTACAATGTGCTCGATGCCAGAGTACTCTCCCTCGGTGTTCTCACGGATCAGGACAGTGTCGACGTCGTCGTAGGGCGTCTTGTAGCCGGCGATGGATCTGCAGGGGCGGACGTTGGCGAAGAGGTTGAAGGTACGGCGGAGAGTAAGGTTGAGCGAGACGTGGCCCTTGCCGATGGGGGTCGCGAGGGGGCCCTTGAGGGCGACCAAGTTCTTCTTGACGCTGGCGATGGACTCGTCGGGGATGACCGTCTTGCCGTCCTCGTTCAGGCGCGGGGTCACGTCGACCGACTCCCACTTGATTGGGACGTTTGCGGCCGAGTAGATGTCCTTGACCGACTGCGCAATCTCGGGGCCGATACCATCACCCTCGATTAGAGTGACGGAGTACTTGCCGTCGCTGCCCTTCTGTCCGTGGAACTTGGCGACCTCAGAGGCGTATGTCCGGGCGGACATCTACGTTTGTTAGTAGAGTTCCAGGCTATTTTTTCTCTTCCTATATGCCCATCTTCTCTAGGCGCAAGAATCGATTGTCCCGCGGGAAGCTCACCTGGGACAGCGCGGGCGCCCATCGTGCGCGGGTAGCCTGGCGCATGCATTGCCGCGCAGGGGCGGCGAAGGAGCGAGCAGCCAACATGTTGAGGGTATTTCAATGTTGTCACGACCCAATTGGAGCTACACGGTGGTGGTAGCAGGTCGTCGAGGTGGGTGGTCGCGGCGGGAGGGTTGCGCAAAGCTCGGATACAGAAAAAGAAAGCTCCACCGGCCGCGGGATGTCTTCGTGCGCCAAACCGGTCCATTCCGCCTCCGTCATGGCATCCCACCCGCAATAGCCCTGCATTCTCATGCACCCTCGGTTAACGTTAAATTATGGACTGGCGATACATCTGGAAGCCTCACGACTGACATTCACTTGGTACTGAAGTATACCACCGTGGGCCTTCACTTTAGTGTCACTCGGCGCAACGGAATGTCTCAACCGAGTGCTTGTCACATGTCACGACAAAGCGACCTAATACATCACACATCGCGACATCCTACTTCACACTCATCATTCTCGTATACTCTCCACGACCTCACGTCTCTGGTAGGACTCGAATTCACCATGACACGTTTTGGATCGCATTCTTACCCATCAGCTGGTGTCTTTAATCGTATGTTTCGTGTACAAGACCCACCGAAAGAAAGACACGGCCATTAAGAGCCGTTACCTATGGCACTTCTTCATCTCTGGTAGGCTACTCCTACATATCGTAGCTCAGACTGGGACTGCGTGTAACGCAGTCGTATCATTCGGCACCTGAGACCCTCTTGGACCACAAGCCACTTTAAACGCCAATCCAGTCCATCGCTCTATGATGCAGACTCTACCCATCGCGGCTAGCGTTAGCATCATCTCAGAGAATGCGCGCATGAATTCAGATTCAGCTCACTTCGCTATATCGGTGTTTTATGTTGTGTCAACGCCATCCCCGGTCATATCCGTAGCAGCCTCAACACAGAACTCCGGATTGCTGTACAGAAAGGCTACGACCGGGCGTACTCCTGAGGTATAAAGCTCAAAACATTCTGCCCCAGTGATCACACTCACCGCACTATCCAGACACCCGTATATATTCACTCCATCTCTTTTGCAATCATGCGGGTCCAAGATTTTGTTTTCATCGCCGTATTTTTATGGCCTGTTGTTGTCGGATCGGCTAACTTAGACCGAAGAACGACGCAGCTCCTCGACGTGAGTATTTTGTCATTACCCAATGATTGGTGGTCAAGAACTGACAACGACTTCCTTCAACCCAGTTTGAGGACCTTGAAATCCCCCCTACAGGTGTCGTCACTCCCATTACGATCTACAAAGGCATTCAGTTCACCTCCATCTCCGCAGGAGCGCTGGGCGTCGCAAACATCACTTTCCTGGGTATCAGGCCAAAAACCCCACCGCAAGTCGCCTCAACAGCGTTCCGCAGCACGCTGCCCGACCTTAAACCCGCATCTGTGACGGTTGACTACTCAGATTCACCTTACAAGTCGATCGAACTAGTCTCCCTCTACCTCCATTGCGTAGCCGCACTAGGCACCGGTCTCTTCTCAGCGCTGGTCAAATGTAAGATCAACTTCGAGTGTTTCGGCTCAGATGGCAAGCTCAAAGCCGAAAAGGAGGTCGATTATGAACCGGACACGCCGCTCCTCATCCCTGTTGAGGAGCAGAAGAAAGTCAACTTTGAATCCAAATTTGTGGGTTGCAAGGATATCAAGTTCGCATTGGTGAGCAGTCAGCTTCCTCTAGGAAGTGTTTTAACGGCGATCGCGACGGATAGTTGGACTGTGGTTTTGCATCCACGCGATGCTCAGTCTTGATCACCTGTAGCAGAGGTGAATTTTCTGTTGACCTTTCATCCGTGGATATCTCCAAAAGAAGAAGCACTATCTGCCACACAGAGCTACCTTGCATTCAACAGACGGTGCTTACGCACCAGAATCACACTCGCTGGTACCAGAAGACTATCAAGTTGACTTTCATACGATTGACTTTCCTGACTCTACTTCTCATCTCTATATGCTCATCTTATCTAGCCCTTCTTAGCGGCAGCGCCGCGCGCTCCGGCTGCCGAACCCTCTCATGCATTTCATATTCACTTGCTAAGCTTTTCTGCTCATCTTTCTCCTCGCGCTTTCTACGAGCCAAACGAGCGACCCCAGATGATAACGCGCACAGCCAGAGCATCATTATGACCATAATCGCTGCGGAAACGGCACCGAAGATGAAGAAGCCCAGCCAGATGCGGTATTCGGCGCTTGAAGTGTTTGGTGGGTGTAGAGGCCTGGGATAGGCGGAGATGGTGTTGTTGTGTAGTGGCGAAGCATCGGTCGTGTTAGTAGCCGCGATGGTGAGGCCGCTGGAGTAAGGAATGGTGTACGGAGACGCCATGTCTGAAGTCGATCTGTGCTTAGGTATGAGAAGGTTGGTACTATGTCCGTGTGCTTTCTTAGCAGTGTGCTGATACTTGGAGTAGGAGAGGAACAGACTCTAGACTCTACTTCGTCGGGCATTGTGCGCCAGGTTTGCTGAACCTTCACGATCTCATGCATCCGAAAGCTTACAATGTGTTGGAGTATACCTTTTAGAATGTCGCCGTTGATACGACTAGCGCTCAGCGTCATCGAACCCGACACTGTGAGCTCACAGGTCTAATGTCTAGTGATAGTCACCATATGGTGCGGCATCTGTACGGACACCACGAACAGAGCTACTGTTTACAAGTGATCTCCCGCAATCTTCCCAGGTCCTCGTTCATCCCAACTACGACCAGACGTAACAAGACGAAATCACCAACAATATTTGTTCAACATCCAACATGTCACAAAACAACACCATGGCGGCTTTTACTTGGCCAAATGCCGCGCAAGGAACTGCTTCTTCAGATGGGAAGACTTCGTCTTCTGTTACCACTTCGACTGCAGTCGATTCTGGTGTATTCTACTCATCGGATGTCGCTGCATCGACGTCTACTGCTTCAGACGGGGGAGTCTTCTTTTCTTCGGACGTCCCAACGACTACTGTTGCCTCCGCTACAAGCACTTCAACAGCAGTAGATCCTGGTACCTTTTACTCGTCGGCTGTCCCTACGTCTACTTCCACTGCATCCGATGGAGGCACATTCTTCTCTTCGGACGTTCCCGTTTCTAGCATCGGCTGCCACCATTGCACAGCTTGTACGAAGACGACCTCAACCGCCAGTGCTCACGCAAGTGCGTCTTCCTTCCTAAAGGCAGTCTCGAACAATCCTTGGAATCCAAATGTAGCACCGCCGATTGATGCGTTACCATCGTACGTCGATTACGGCACCGTGTCCACCCTGATGCCTCAAGCTACCGGAGTCGCTTTCGATCGCGGCACACCTTTCGAAATGACTGATCCCATGATGCCAATAGCAGATGCATCGTCTGATCTTCATTCAACCTTCGCCAAGCGAGACGGTCCCCGCTTCGCGAAAAACCCCGGCCACATCATCGGTGTCATCATACTGGCCCTCGGTGTGGTCCTCGTATGCTTCCTAGCGATAAAGTACTGTAGGGGTCTAATTCCCACGACCCATGATCCGGAAAAGGGTGATAGCCGCCGTCGCTATCCAATCTTTGAAAAAGAGGTCGTCCGTGGACGACGACGCCGCCGTGACGGCTCACCTTCCACCACCCATTATGCTGACATACCAATCTCGGAGGGATATGGCATGGATCCCGTCGAACTTGCTCGCGCCCAAAATTGGCAAGACGGCTTCGACGAAAAAGGTGTGTATGCTACACGAGATCACGTAGATCGAAGGACATCCGCTGATAACTTCCAGTCAGTCGCAACGCATGGAACTGGTGATAATGCTGGATATCGACTGCAATTACCCAGCTTTATACCCACACGCAGCTCGAATCCAAAGTCCCGTCCTGTGATCGATCTGCCGGCGCTCGCCCGTAATCCGGAGTACCCAGCCGGTCAGCCAGTTTCGCCGTTGAGTGCAAACGGCCCACCCCACGATTATAACCGCACGCGAGATTACAGCGACGTATCACCGCTACATTCGCCCACAATGCATCGCGAGAATCGCAGGTAGTCAGTCCGGTCGAATGGCGAAAACATGGTGTGGTTGCTGAAGATCAAACAGGTACAGCTGTCAGACGCGTTTCCAGCTAGTGGAGTTTAGAGTTTCGCATAGGTATCCTGCAATTTTGCTTTTTAATTCCGAGACTCGTTACTTGATACAGTGAGATTGGTTCTGCGCCGGCAACATCGTTGGTTTTCGGGGTTATTTTGGGGTGGGTTTCACTTCTTTCATTTGCTGGGGGCTGTGCTTGGTGTGGTTTAACTATCGTGAAGGTCCCGTCCCCACCTGCCATTCTTACCTGCGCATTTCGTTCTTTACCTACACACTCATTCAACAACTCACCTACATTCTTTCGGTCGCAACTCTCCAATTCAAATAACATACATACAGATTTCATCTTGTCACATCGCACAACATGCCTGTACTCAAGTTCTCACACCGCGCTGAGCCTATCAACGCCGAACAGCGCATGATTGGGCCCATTCCTTTACCATGGTTCATTCCCATGTGTGTCTTTGCGCCTTTCTTCCTCTCGTTTATATGCTGGGTATTCTATCAACAAACGGTGACGCGATACAAGAACAAGAAGCTATTGGCAGCGCAACAAGAGCAACAGCGCTTAGCTGCTAAAGAGGTGGAGACACAGATGCAGCAGTTCATTGGGTCGAGCGTAAATAACGCGAATATTCGCGCGCCACCAAGAGCGATGAGGCACCCTGCATACAGATGATTGTGATTTGGAAGGACTCAATACGAGTATCATGGAGATGGTCGCGGGATGACAGGCATAATCATGTGCCGTCCATTCGTTTCGGCTCGGAGAGACCAGCAGTAAGTCGTCCACAGTATTATCACAATTCGCAACATTGTCAACTTACGACATTCTACCAGAACACTCTAAACGGCTATTGTGAAAGCATCATGTCTCACGATCATTCACACCACATCGCCACTCATTCTACAAAAGATCTTCCATATCTGCTTACAACCTTCTATCACCAAGCTCCATCTACATCGTCGCATTCCACGATAGTCTCGAAGCCGGACTTCCAACTCACATCCCGAATTCAACAAACCAACATAACACCATGGCCCCATTAGCCCCTTCCATCATCAACGCCCTTTACTCGGAGCCCACCTCCACCTACTCCATCCCCGCTATGCCGCTTGTCACTCAACTTTCTGCATTCGCGACCATCGTCACCCCGACGACTCCCTATACACCCATGGCCTCTCCATCTTCCATCTCAGACATCCTCCACGAGATCTCCAAGGCGGACACCGCTGCTCAGCCGACTTCAACTCTTGACCTCAAAGTGAAGTCCAGCAGCTCTGGCGCTGAAGGCGGTTTATCGACTATAGCTGTAGTCGGCATTATCGGTGGTATTCTTGTGGGCATGCTTATTCTGGGGTTCATTGTTGTGAAAATGTGCCACCATTAAGTCACGGGTGGGCATGTGTAGCAGGCTTGGAGAGAAAGCCAAGCAGGTAGTTTGAGAGGATGTTGCTTGATGGTTTGATGATGGGATTGATACATTTATTTAGATGATGGGTAGATGTAAAGATGAGTTCATGGCTATACCTATATTGGCTCTGCTTCGCCTTCCAATCGCTATTCGTTCGTGATGTGATATGCAATGTTCATCCGCTGAACCAGGGTACGTGGTGTGTACGCCACCGGTATAGATTTGGGACGAAGCGGTATATCCGATGGGGACAAGCAGCATCATGGTTGCCCTTGAATGCTGCTATTGTACCTCAGCGGCTATTTTTTACGCCGCTGTCTCCTAGGCGTCTCTTCAGCCGCGCTCCAACCTTCCATTTCGATATCCAGATCGTCCAGCTCGGCCGCCAAGTCTTGTCGCGGCTTCTTCGCCTTTTTGACTGGTTGATCGCCGGGAGCGTCGGAGTCAGATAGGAAACTGTCTCTTCGTTGCTTTGTGTTGCGACTGACAGAACGGATAGATCGCTCTTTCTGGTGGTATTTCTGGTTAGATGGTGGAGACGACGTTGAAGATGCTAAGCAAGGTGAGTAAATGAGCCTGAATGTGAAGCATAGTAACTCACTGCTATCCTCGTCATCCGAGTCGATGATGAAGCGTCGCTTTCGTTGCGAGATTGGTGACTTGGAACTACTTGTACGTATTGGGGTCTTGCGCTCGAACGTGTTGCCACTCGGGAGGCCACGTTCTTTTGCCAGTGCGTTCCTATGTGCATTCGTCAGATACTGCGTCCACTCGTTCCCATGCGTTGGACTTACTGCACAGCATATTCCACCATCTCGTATTCTACCTCCGGGCTGGGCTCTCCGTCACTCAGATCTACGATCGCTGGTATACGTATCCCTCCTGCTTTGCGATTGATAAGATCGAGTTGCGCCGCTGCGACCCGGAAAGCGGCATTGGATGGGCGGCACCGTTGCTTTGGAAGACGTTTTGGTTTTGTGTAGGAAAATTGGGGGCAGTCGACCGCCATGACAGGAACTTGTGGTGAGAGGGATGATAGGGCAGAGGATGGAGATGTCGCGGATGGGAAGGATAGTGTACTGTCAATCTCACTTCGAGAACCGAGGTGACTGAGAGCGCGCTGCCAAAGGTGAGAGAACATGGTGTCTATCTATGTTGTTTGCGCTGAAGCTAATCTTGCTGTTTGTTGTCTTACCTGTGAGACCTCAATGTCTCAGCGCCCGTTTGAAAGGCGGCAGCAAGAGCGAGCAGGCATTCAATCGAGCAATCGCAGGACAAGGCGCTCATGCCACAAAAGTTCAATTGAATACCATATAGCTAGCAGATGGCTTCAGTGCTTTCCACCTTGTACGACGATGCGCGCGAGCGTGCATGCATTGACTGGATGATGTAGCAACCCGAAATCGACCCGTCATATCTCCCACATACACCAAACGCCGGGTAGTAATACCGCTCGATCTACATGTTGCTAAATACAATCCAACCTTCTTTTACACCTATCATACTCTAGCCCTTTTCCTTGACAGTCTGGCGTTGTATACAAAGCGCGGCTGCATGTCTATATCCAGATCTAATGGATCCTCGCTTTCCAACATCTCAACGTCGCTGTATGCACGTCTACTGCGTACCTCAACACCAAGAAACTCATCGGAGCCATTAGAGATATCAGAATTGAGATCGTAATGGACAGTATTATCCGGAACGATGAACTCGCGATCGCTGCTGGTCTCTCTGGCGTGTGTAGGGTTCATTGAAGACGACTTCGTTCGTTTGGCGCTCGTGTTTGAGCAGTGTTTTGCACCTGACTTTGCGCTTTTGGAGAGCTTTGCATGATGGTGTAGACTCTTTGACTTTGTAGCTTTGTTCTTCGGCTTGGACTGTGGTCTCGATGCCGTTGTAGCGGCTGACTCCGGCTGCGGTTCATCGTCGTCCCACTCAAAAGCGGGATCGTTTGGGTCTATCTTGACCATGACCTCTTCGCCATCTGCATCCAAGCCTGGTTGACACTGTGCCGGTGGGGCTTCACTCATCCTGATGGCTTGTTTCTTCGCCAATGGTAGATCGCCTTCGCTGTCCATGATGAGGTGATAGAGATCCACAATGGGTAGCGCGGGTGCCACGGCCATTAGCTGAGCGACCTTACTTCTCAGCCCGAAGTCGTCGATATCCATAAGACTCATGTTGCTAGTCCCAGGCTTGCTCTCTTTCCGGCATCCATCGAGCGCGCGAGGTCGCGTGGCAGGCTTACGGATCGGTGCCGCTTCTTCATCGCCATCAGAATCTCGTTGTAGTGTTTCTTGGGGTACAGCATGCGATCGATCCTTTGCGGGCCCGCTAGATGTTGGTGAGGAGCGTCGTAGGACGAAGCCTATGGGTGCATGCGACATATTCGGTAACGCGCGCGGGCTCTCGCTCGTGCCATCGTAGCGGAAACCTCGTAGGTTGGGCTCGGCGAGTGAGACTTGTGTTCGACGAGGGTCAATACTACCGATGTTAGCGTTGAACAGGCGTATTGTGAGCGCGATTTGTCTTGACTTACCGCTGGGGAGTGCTTGTCGGCACGTCATCGTCGCTATCGAGCGTGATTGGCAAGTCCTGCGATGCGCCCACTCGGTAACCGGGACTAAACTTGGAGCCAGCTTTGGGGAGCTTGCGCACCGAAATTCGAGGTTTTCGCTTCGCCCGACCGCGTTTTTCTTTGCCTGTTGCCGGGCCCATATTGATTTTCTTAATGTTGCGCTGGAACCCCATATTATCCTCCTTCTGACTAGAATATTCAGGCTTGCGCTGTCGAATGGTTTGACGGGGGTTGGGTGTACGACCGAGGGAGGGTAGAGACTGGTGCGGATCAAACGAATTGAGCCTCGAAATTTCTAGCAGCGTTGCAGTGCGGTATTGCGGCAGTCCACATCGCACCGACGTATCTTTCCTCCCTCTCAATATGTCTTGATACTGGCTGCTAAGGCCATAAGGCAACAATATAGAAGAACAGGTATCCATGGCGAAAAGTGATTCGAAATCGCACGAGTGAGTCGGGTATACTGGAGGTGAAGGAGGAGTTTAGCGAACGGTCTGGGCCCAGAGGCAGGTCGGTCAAACAGGCGGTATCCTTGCGCAAAGGAGTGAAAGAGGAGAGACAGTTGCCATCGTGTGCTGGGCGCTGAGAGGAAGCTTGTTGGTGGGGTAGGCCTACGACGAGGAAGGCACGACCTGATCAGCCATGCGGACGACGACCTTGGGACTGTTCATAGTAACTGTGCTGCCATCGGCATGAAGCATCCGGTACATAGGTAGTATTTCTTGCCCTACAGTTGTTATTGCAGACCCTGCAATTGTGGCATCCTCAACGAAGTTTGCAGTATGCACACCCGACGTCACTATCCACACTGTTATCACCATGGCACTCACAACGATTCCATCGCCAACACAGACGAGCGTTCACCATCATCACGCTTGACTGGGTTGCAGGATTAGGTTAGGTATGAAGACGAGACAAAATGAACGACAGATACAATGAAATCAGTCACGTTACCAAGTTGGATATCTGGTGAGCACCCCGCTACGCCGCGTGCCATTCAGTGAAGGTAGCACAGCCTTGCGCGCTCATTGCAACAGGAACAGTCCAGCATGAAAGTGAGGGAGACGAGCTTGAGGCGTTAGATGACAATGCAGCGCGTTGTCGAAGAGGACCCCGTGTCAACGAAAGACAACTCGATTGGTAGGTAGGATAAAGCCATCTGAACACACGGTGGTGTCATTAAATAGCCGTGCGCGGTATGACAACATATGCGGCATAAAGGTAAGCACATTGAGAGGGTCTCAAGGTTGAAGTGCCCGGCAGTGGTGATGGATTGGTCTAAGGAATGATGGGTGGGGCCGGAGCTGAGTCAGCAATCGCGCGCCTCCGCTCACGCTATTGCGCGCCTCTAGAGGAAAGTCGCGCCCACTGATCCTTATAGCATTCTCTCATCGCATCTCCTTGTATATTTCCGCAACTCCGTCTCGCGCTGGATACCTACAATGTCCTGGATCCTACGTGCACCCTTCGATCTTGACACGACAAGCGATGGGACGCCATTCAGCTGCAAAAACCACTGAGGCAACACCAGCAGCCACAATGCTGCAGTCATGCAGCACCCTATATCGTGCAGCTGCGCGTGTCCAGTAGTATCACGAGCAGAGCAAAGCTGTCCGGACCGGTCAACATACATGGATCGGGATGAGAAGATGGCTATCACAAGCCAATCAAGCACACGAGCTGTGACAGGGCACGGCTGAGGTTTGGGGGCCGGCATGGTAATCCTGCCCTCAGGATATGCGCGGTAGTAACAGCTGTGAAAGCGCCTATGCGACGATAAAACTGGTGCATGCCCTGCTCAGCCCTTGCGATGCACCTCCCCAGGACTTAGCGTCAACCTTCTCAAATTTTCGGATGATTCTTGTGTATACTACAGCATGAAATTCGGGCATAACAAAGACGAGCCGGCCCCACCCGATCTGGTCTTCGATGAAGATGAGGATCTCGGCGAAGTTTGGCTACAAGTTGTGCGACAGTATGAGGATACCACCAAGAAGAAGCTAGATTTCACTACCACGTTCAAGAGCTTCCAACTACAAGTTGACGCCGATATCAAAGAGTCAACAACGAAAAGCCACCAACATGCTCGAACTGTCTTAAACAATGTTGGTACCTGTCTTGAGAAGTTTGGGAGTATCGTCGCACAAGGGGCAAGTGTAGTCTTCGGACCAACTGCTCAATGCTGGAATGCGATAAGCTTCGTGATCCAAGCAGCACGCGGCTTCAGCGACATGATGGACGGGTTCGTCACTCTAATGGAACGCTCATCCGCCTTCTTACGACGCCTTGTCTACTTTCTGGAGCAAGAAGTCGGCAAAGATGGAACCTATTTGCCGCGCCCTCTTCGTAGGTCCGCCTACGAGATTCTATCCCAGTTCTTGGGTGTGCTCCGTTCTTCCTACAAGCTGGCTACCAGCACAAGAGAGCGAATGAAGTCGATGGCCGGAATGATTCTCTTCAACTCCAACGATGCGGTCGCGGAGTCACTCCAGCTTATGGAAAATCATATACAAGAGTTCACCAGAGCTGAGGCCGATGTCATACTAGTAGGAGTTCGAGGTCTTGCCAAGCATCTCGTCAAATCTGACGAGGAAAGACGGGCTCACAAGACTGAAATCCTTGAATACGTCCAGGCCACATACAAAGTCGGTGATCAAGTTCTGAGCGTTACTCAGCAGATGAAGACTACTCTGGATGGTCGAGCTAATAAGGACCAACAGAAAGAGAATTTGGTCAAGATAGCAAACAATTTGGGGCTGAAGAAGCCTGGGAACTGGGAGACTTGGAACAAGCGGCACAGCGAGCTCTGCAAAACGCATGTGGAAGGGACAGGAGAATGGCTCAGTCAAGACGAGCCTGTATTCATCCAATGGGCTGATCTGGAACAGCACGACAAAAAGGTTCTCTTCCTGAAGGCCGACTCCGGTTTCGGCAAAACACATCTCTTCAACCATGTTGTGTCTCATCTCGAAAAGAAATGCCGGGCTGCACGCGGACCGAACCAGGCTTTTCTCGCGTACTATTACTACGGAGAAGAGAAAGACGACTCACTCGAACGGTGCATTGGATCCATCATATACCAATTTGCAGCTGCAGATGTTGGATATGCTCAAGCTGTAGTAGAGGAATGCGCGCGACTCACAAGCATCGCGCGAGCTGAAGATCGATGGCATAATCTTGTTTCGGGACTACAGCATGCCATGAAAGGGACATATTTCATATGCATGGACGGTTTCGATAGTCGTGGCCAGCTGGACACTGCAGAGGCAATGATGTCAACTATCGCGGGCCAAGCTGCTTCTTCAGCCAAGTCTAATGGGGTTTCCATACGTCTGTTCGTATCCGGAAACGACGATGCGCTTTCGGAGGTCTCGCAAACAGTCAAAGCTGTCGACACCATTCTTCTCGGGAAACGCAAAGACACTATCCAATCCATGGAACGAGCTGGCTACATACCAGATATAGCTTCAGACTCGCTGCCAAACGCAAGAGATCTGAGAGCTGTCACAAGCGCCAGGATCGAGGAGGTTTGCAGGACTAAACCCGGTCTGAAGGCTCTTCTTAGCGACGCGAACATCGAGCTTTTGCTTGAGGGAATACGCGGAAACTACAGGAACTTGGAGGCCAAGATAACAGAGATCAATGCCTGCGACACCAAGGGAAAAGTCCAAGAAATCATCAGCAACACAAGTGCCGACATGAACGCCGTCCAAAGAAACAGAATCAAGATGCTGGACGCTCTTCTGACTTCACGTCAGGCTCAGGTGCTCAATTCTCTTCTTGTGTGGGTTGCAGGCTGTAGCTATCCACCAAAGATCAAGCTTCTTGAGAGCGTTCTTTTCTTTACCTTCAGGGAGGACTTTCTCCTCACAGATCAAGTTGCTACTACCTACTCGCCTGTGCTCACGATTGACAAGGAGGGCAGGGTGGGATTTAAGGACGGCCTTAGGGATATCCTGTCCGCGAATACTTCCTCGGGAGCCGAGTCTGCAATCGCCCAGTTACATGCTGAAGCGATCACTAGTGCCGAAGTCGAGCTTTGTCGCCGGTTCATAAGAAAAGCTTGTGATGCAACAGATTACGCCAGATTTAGGTTTGATGATTTCTTCGAGGCCATGGCACAAAAGAAACATATTCACCTCGACGACGACAACACGGTGAACGTTACCATAATCAGCTTGTGCATCGATGTTCTGTTCGACAGTCGAAAGGACGGAAGCCTCGAAGCAATGCGCGAATATGCATCATTGTGGTTTTATGAGTATCTCAAGACCTTGGTCAAGGCGCTTGATGAGTTTGAGCCAGAAAGGAAGTTCATGACCGACATTGGAGGCAAGTTGGTTGACTTGTTCTACGACCCCAAGATGATCGATATGTGGTTCTCCAAGAAGAATCTGACGTGGCTGAAGTACGACTACCTGTATTCAGAAGAGTTCCTTGACCCCATTTTGGCATTGCTCAAGAATTCGCAAGTGGCCAAAGGCTATGCAAAGGATGCAGAGAAGAGTGAGTGGGCCAAGTCTGTCATTTCCGACACCGCGAGCAAATACTCCGTTCTCGAGCGCATCGCAGCGCGGCTGGCGACCCATTGGTTTAGTTGTGCGACTGGAACAACAGACAGAGATTACCTTTGGATCTCATGGGGTATTGTAGCTAAGGTGAGCTGTTTTTAACAATGCTGAAAGGTTGCCTGACACCGATGAACAGATATCCAAACCAGAGAAACCCTTCGAAGAATGGAAGCCGCCCTCGAATGCAGAGGTTAACGAGTACATCCTCTGGGTAAAGAAGCAAAAGGACATCAACGTCGACAGCGCTGTCTGGGACTACCGCGTAGGAGCTACAAATGTCGTCTTCGAGCATTACAAAGAAGCCATTACTGCGTTGGAGAAGGCTGAAAAGCACTCTCAGACAAATTGGGGTCTCTACTTTAGTCTAGCAGAGGCCCATGAGAACGAAAAGAACCATCGTACAGCACTTGGGTATGTACGGAACTTCAAATCGCTTAGCGAGAAGTTCCTTGAGACAGATGATGCGTACAAGGAGGCCTACTGGCTTTTGCTCAAGGTGGAAGGCAATTGCTATCGAGAGTGTCATGAGCACGGCATGGCCGTGCAATCTTTCCACGATCTTCTTAACCAGATTATCAGTGAAGCGTCAGGTATGAGCTGGCTTCACTTACACGCGCTTTCGGGACTCTTCACAACCTGGACCGATACGAAAAGCCCTCAATCCATCATTGATCTCATTCGCAGCTGGACAACTGCGACAGCCGAGAATCGCGGCGCGACTTACTGGCTACGAAGAGCATCACGCGAAAATGCCCTCCATACATGCATAATTGTGGCTGCGAAGCATGTTGGGGCCGAGGAAGAGATCATCTCTATGTACCAGGAGGCCATCGATTACAAGCCGCCGGATCAACCAATTGTTGACGGCCAGCCGGGAATGGACAATTCTGCTGAAGCAACCAAACAACTGCAGTACTTCCAAGCCGTACTCAAATTCCATGGAGGCAATTCCCACGAGTATCATCACGAGAGTATAAAATGCTGGGAAGACATTGTCATGCAATCAGACGAGAATCCTGCGTCCTATATGACAGCATGGCATGCAGCCCGTAAGCTGGCTCCGACTCTTCTCGACAAGGCAGTCGCCAAAACTCTACCAGCCCTTTCCAGCTCCTCCGAAGATTATATCAGCCGATTGAAGAAGCTTGCCAGCTCGAACACCACGATAATCTGTAACCTTCATGAAGGTTATTTTGATCCTCGTCTCTGTTTAGCCAGGCTATACTGTGTCAAAGAAGACCATACTTCAGCTTCCACTCAGGCGCAAGCTCGGCTTTGGAGTGTCTTCGACAAATGGCCTGAAGTCACTGACGATGCCTCACTCAACTTGCGCTTCTCGAACCTTGCCGCTACACTAACTGTCCTCGACAAGGACGCCGATGCTATTGCAGCGTGGCAAGCAATAGGGCCGTACCAACCATTGAACGCTGTGGCTGCGAGCGCAGACGTACCAGGTACTGAGGAGTTTACGCATTCAAACACTGAAGGACCTCACACAGATAGTGCACCAGTGGCATCTGACAAGAAGTCGGAAGACATTTCAAACGCAGCCACTTCGTTCACGACTACAACCAAAGCATATGTGTTAGGATACATCTGCGACGGTTATTGCGGAGTGAAATGGACAGATATGGTAGCCGACTGTTGGGCATGCAAGCACTGTCTCTGCGTCCAGCTCTGCCCAGGGTGTTACAAGAAGCTTCTGGACGGTGACCTACACCCTCTCCTTTGTAACAAAGATCACAAGATGCTCTATATACCGCCCTTTGACTGGGAAGCATGGCGCACAATCCCCGCAGACATGATGACTGTGGACAACAAGCTAGTCCCTCGTAAAGACTGGGTGGACAAGATTCGCAAAGAGTACAATGTGCAACAGGATGAGATCGATTTCATCAAGATTGAGAAGGCCAGGGGACTGAAGGCTGCCAGCGTCATTGCCGTGCGGTGGCGCAACAGGTTGCAGAGGTTAAGGGCCAGCAGGCCGGTAGCAGCGCCTGCGCTTCGTCGGGCCAAGACGGTGAGATAGGTAGCCGGTGCGACACCAGCTTGCACTCGTTCGTTACAGGATAGCACTACCCAAACTGAGAGTAGACTCGCAGCTAATCGATGCAATCAAACATCAGTTCATGGCACTACTAAGATTACCAGACTCATTGAACAGAGCACCGATGCTCGTTTCTCTTCTTCTCCCTGAATCGCTCCAACTCCTCACGACCTCCTTGTGCCTCCCAACCCTTCACCCACTCTATGAAGCTTGGATGGTCATATTTTCTCGCCTCGGCGAGTGCAGCAGCCGGATCCGCGCCTCGGTCGAGTAGAAACCACGTCAGTTCGCGTGCATCTGTGTCTGGTCTACCGACGCCAACGATGTATTCTAGTGGCGTCCCCATTTCTCCCTGCAACCATTTCGTGTCGCGCGGAAAGTCCAGCTTGTTCACATCCAAACTCACGGTATCAACCAGATGGCGCACCATTGCCATACGTTGGACATAACGCGCCCTGCTCCGCCGTTGCCATTCCTCGTCTTTTTCGGGGTCGTCCGCCCCATCGTGACCCAACGCCGCCATGAGTACCGCCCTATGTAGTGTACAGGGTCCCAAAGGAGCCCTTTTGGCACGCAAGAATTCAAACGTTGCGATGTCGCCCGTCTCCGCGACCTTTTGCAGTATGGGCCTCTTGCACGGTGGTTCCCCGGGCGTAGCAAGTTTTGCGCCATGCTTTAAGCACCATACAAGCTTCTCGCGGTCATGGATACAAGACCACATAAATGGATTCTGCCCAGATCGAGGTTCTCCTGCCCAGTTGATGTCCCAGCCATGAGTAAGCAAGAAATCGAGAGTTGCGATTGCAACCTCTTCACCAGAGATATTGATGTGCTTGATGCTGACGCCGTGTTTGATAAGATAGCGAAGAGCTGGTATCGAGTTTTGCTTTATCGCAATGGCTATGACTCGTTCATCGTCGCGTCTCTTCGCGTTGCCTTTGGCGTTGATCCTAGCCTGCTCGAATAGCTCTAGTTCGTCATTGTTGATTGGAGTATCAAAAAGAGCCTTCACATCCTCTGCCTGATGCATCGTGGGCTTGCGTGTTTTGCGATGTGAGGCTCGTACACTCTTCATTACTACTGGCGTCTTTAGAGCTGCTGACCTAGACTGATAAGGCGTTGAGTGCAAAAAATCGGCAAAAAAGAGCTTGTGTAGGCAAAAACATACAACAGCGGGGATTCGCTAGTGGTCACCCACCTAACTACTAATCCGCCGGTATCATGCTTGTATATGGCTGAGCGGACGGGAAGCCTAATTTTCATGATCCTGTGGTCGTATGTGGAAGAATGGATGATTTAGATCAATACATTGGGGGTCAAGACGAATGGCGATCTACTGGAGCGTTAGCGGCAGCCTCAGATGCGAGAACACCAGTATAACACCAGGAATGTACACGCCGATACCAGTCACGTTGTGCTCCATGCTGTAATGAGATCAATTCTTCAAGCTGTTGTGTCATCTTATCAAGCCACCCGTAGATGCGCTTTTACCGTAACTCCGTCGCTGAAGATGCAATGCAGGTATTCCTCTCCTTCTCATACGCCGCGTCCGACAAATGTTTCTGCTCCTGTCCTTGGACGATCCCCCATCTAGTCCTTAGGAAGCATATCCTGCTCACTGCCGTCCCTGGGCACGTAGTTGATACCCGCGCTCTCCACCGCTCCAATCACGTCTTCCGGGAGAATGCCTTCGACCTGGGTCGCGTAGACGCCCGGAACGTAGCCTTCAAGACGCTGATATCTGGCGACCCAGCTCCTTGATGTATCCGCGACAGTGATGAGGCCTTCGAAAACCTGCGATGTGCAGTCGTTGATCTGCTCGGGGTTGCCAGCCAGCTCAATGATCTCTTCGCAGTTGGGGCAGCCCTGGGTGAGGAACTGGTTCTGGGTTCGGACAATGGAGCAGACCATGCAGGCGCGCATGTTGCGTTGCTGGCCTGGCGGTATGTGCGCACCGCCCTGGATCATGTTCTGTGCCATCTCGGATTTCTCGACGTTGGTACGAGGGTACGCGGGCGGCTGCTGACCTGGCTGATGGCGGGTTTTGAGTGTGACAGCGGGGCGCTCGGTACGACCAGGGAGATTGGCGTCTAGAGAAGAGTTGTCGCGACCTCGACCTGCAGTGCGCGGACGTGTAGGAGGATTCTGAGGAGGAGTATGGGGCTGCTGCAGAAGCGCTTGATGGTAAAGCGGAGTCTGGTTGTCGAAGATGGATGTAGGCGACCCGAAATACTCGATGGCAGGACGGAGGTCGTTGTTGAAGCTGACAGGAAACAGAGCGTCCGCCAGTGTCCTACTTTGTTCCACGGTTCCGGAAGCTTGGCGAGGCTGTCGGCGCTCTGGCTCTGGACCTGACTCGGGCACCGCTTTAGAGAGGTTTAGTCGCTCACGCGAGGCTACGGGATCGACATTCTCCAACTCGTGCGCAAAGTATGGCTCCTCGTCTGCCCTGCTATTTCCTCGGGGCCTTGTAGTAGCGCGAGGTGGGGTGACATCAGGCTCGACTTCGTCGCCGTCAGAGTCGACGGTGATGTAGCGATCTTTAGGTGTCTTGACCGTTGCCCTACCCTTGCGCGCCATGATGTCTAGTCGGAGCCGAGGTCTCTGGTTGGTTGGGCGTTGGTGGAGGCGTTTAGCGGCAAGGCCAGGCGATGGCGGGACAGACTCGTTTGATAACTTTCGGCGGGCAGTGCGGGCGACAGGTCACCTTCATTTTGTTGCCGTACGTCACTGGTTTGCTATTCAAATCTCTTAACGCGCAGGGACGCAGCTTCCCTCCCGTCAACCAACAGGTGCACCAGCCCGTCGCGCCTTCTGCAACTACACCCGCTGCCCGCGTGCCTCGCATAACCCAGCTTGTCCCGCACTGCGTCGATACATCATGGGTGCCCCGACCGACGAAGCCACCAAGCTCAAGGACCAGGGCAACAATGCCTTCAGGAACCAGGAATGGGACAATGCCCTTGAGTTCTACACCAAAGCGATAGAGGCCTACAACGCAGAGCCCTCGTTCTACACCAACCGCGCACAAGTACACAGCCCACCTGCGCCTCCCGAGCATGTACTAATCTATCCTCCAGACATACATCAAGCTCGAACAGTATGGATACGCTATACAAGACGCCGACACGGCGATTGAATTGGACCCAAACAACGTCAAGGTACTATTGTCGCAAACTCACATCGTCATCATGACGCTCATCGCAGCACCAGGCATACTACCGCCGCGCCTCAGCGAATACCGCCATCCTCAAGCACCGTGAAGCGCTCCGCGACTGGAAGCTCGTCGTCAAGAAAGCCCCCAACGATGCCAACGCAAAGCTGCGCATGGCCGAGTGCGACAAGGTCGTCAAGCGAGACGCCTTCCTCAAGGCCATCGAGGTCGAAGATGCGCCGTCGGCAGCAGAGGGCCTAGACTTGGAACACATGGCCGTAGACCCCTCATACGATGGCGCAAAGCTGGGAGACAAGATGACACTGGAGTTTGTCGAAGACATGATTGAGCGATTCAAGAACGGAAAGAAGCTGGCCAAGAAGTACGTCTACCAGATCATCATCGCAGTCATGGACATTGTCAAGAAGGAGCCCACTATGGTCGAGCACGATGTCGCAGATGGAAAAGAGATCACCGTCTGCGGTGATACTCACGGTGGGTATTACCAAGAAAGTGTGGATTGACTGCGTACTGACAAGCCTAGGTCAATTCTTCGATCTCATGAACATCTTCAACCTCGCCGGCAAGCCCTCCGAAAAGAACGCGTTCCTCTTCAACGGCGACTTCGTCGACCGAGGCTCTTGGTCCACCGAGATCGCCCTGCTGCTTTACGCCTACAAATGGCTATACCCCGATAGCTTCTTCCTGAACCGCGGAAACCACGAGACGGACGACATGAACAGGATGTACGGTTTCGAGGGTGAATGCAGGGCGAAATACACCGAGCGCGTCTTTAAGCTGTTCTCGGAGTCCTTCTCCGCGCTTCCTCTGGCCACCCTCATCGGCAAGAAGTACTTTGTGCTTCACGGTGGCCTCTTCTCTGACGACAAGGTCACGCTAGATGACGTGCGAAAGCTTGACCGATTCAAGCAGCGTCAACCGGGACAGTCTGGGCTCATGATGGAGATGCTTTGGACCGACCCGCAGACGAACCCAGGTCGTGGACCCAGCAAACGCGGTGTCGGTCTGCAATTCGGACCTGACATCACCAAGCGCTTCTGCGAGAACAACGGTCTCGAGGCCATCATTCGGTCGCATGAAGTACGCATGGAAGGTTACGAAGTCGAGCACGACGGACGCTGTATCACGGTCTTCTCGGCACCCAACTACTGTGACAGCACCCACAACAAGGGCGCATTCATCAAGATCGGCCCAGAGTACAAGCTCAAGTTCACCCAGTTCGACGCTGTTGCGCATCCGAACATCAAGCCCATGGCATACGCGTCGAGTGGCATGGCCGGCATGATCTAATGAAATTGAAGTAAGTTGGTTCAGTCATTGTTCGCAGCGATGCATACTTGGGTGTTCTTCGGCGCATCAGCATACTCGGAATTGGTTGGGGCTGTGTTTGATCTTTCAGGATTGATTGGGAAGGAGCGCTGCTATACGAATGTATTATAGAGCCTAGACGAAGGCACAATTCCGACGTCGATGTACACGAAAAGCATCGAGCAAAAATATGAGAGCAGAACATTACCTCCTGCGCGTCTGACACGCTATCTCGGGTAGCGCGTGGTAAATGCGTTGCCCCTCACACGCGGCCCCACGTGTTGCATCCCAATGCGGCTAAGTCTGTTGACAAACATGGGTCGTCCTCGCCTTCCATCTCATCGCGTCCGCCAACCTGCTAACAAAGCGCCCTTTACGCCTGATCTCGCCGTAGATCTATGACACCGGCACCCTGTCGCATCCCTCATCGTTTCTACATCAGCAATGTGAAGACTTATCCACTTGCGCAATCACCATGTCGCCGTATCAACAAATCTTC